GGGGAGAGACATAGAGAGACAAGACAAGACTATTAATTGCGGTATAGCCACTTTGAAGTAGCGCTAGGTATCTCACTACTGTTCTCATGTCCCACCTTTCCAGACACACCACACCAACTCATGGCTGCCGCTAAAGACATCTTTGGGACACTGGTAGTAGTTTTACTCTTTAAAAACATAACGGACACATATGTCCGACCAGCAGCAGACTAAAGGCAATGATACGGCTAATGTCGAACCTTCATACACAAATAAGCATCACAAGTTTGCATATTTCGTTGTACATATTGTGTTGCCCGCCTTTCTATGTTTTAGATAATGACAACAGAATTGGAAAAAGAATTGGCATGAATAACGGAGTACCCCAAAACAGTGCGTCCTCAGTGAGTTAAAAAAGAAAACAACCACACTTTTAACAGTGTACTTCTGCAAGTATGATGAGATGATCATAATGAAAGTCAGCGGTTGACGGATGCTCTGGTGCTATCGAACGTCTATATTCTTCCTCAGTCTTTTATTTGCATGTTACTCTCTCGTATCACCTATATTCGGCACTTCTATGACCTAACAGCATTGCAAGTGCCGTAAAACTCTTACTGAAACTGAACCAAACGATATGAAAACCCCCGCTTGGCCACGGGGGAGTGCAATATGAATCACAAAGGAACCGAAAACAAATTATAACAACACACAAATAAAGTCCACAAAACATGGAGATACTGGCCTCTTTCATTCGTCTTGGGAAAAGTTAGGAGGAGATGGTGGGAGTTGTTTGGGGAGGATGAGGAGGGGGGAGGGGGGGGTATAGAGGGGTAGAGATAATGAGGCCATTGCGATGAGAAGACAGACTGACGCACAGGGGACGGGACTCTGAGCTCACGCACAAAGATGATGACTGGAGGAAGGACGGGAGGAATGGACAGAAGGGAGGAGAAAGAAAAAGAGGTGAGAAGAGACCGCGGGGAAAACGCCTTGGCTCAACTGGCCTCATGAATGCTCCGAATTCAGAAATCGGGAGGAGTTGCTTCCCCTTTTCAAAGGCCCCGTCGTGGGGCATTTCGGCTGCACTGGGGGCCAAATCAAGATTGATGACGGTTTGGTCGATGCAGGCTTCTGAGGGGGGATTCGCCCGCCTTTCTTCGATAATGAGTGCAAAGCGGAGGGGGCTAGGGAGGGAGGAAGAGGGGAGGGGAGGGG